TCCTGGTTTTGTAAGAAATAATATTTGGCTGATGTACTGGATAAGGTTTCCCTTACCTTGATCTCTGCTTAATTTCTGAAGGTGAGCCCTTCCACCTGAGAACTTTCAATGCTGCTCCGACCAATATTACATTTGTGCTGCTGTTTGGGGCAAGATTTGACTACAAGGACCCAACCTTCCTGACTCTGCTTAAACTCATAGATGAGGTTATGTGTCTCCTCGGATCTCCATACTTGCACGTAAGCCGTCTTTGCTCGCATGTCTATTACTTCTTACACTGATGTAAGGGAACCATTTGTCCTTCTCTACAGAACCCTGGAACAGACAGTCCTCTGTTTCAAGGGCAGCCAAAGAACATTCCTCTATTTTGAAGACGTGCCCGGCATGTTGAGCTGCCCAACTGGATGATGAAGTTGCTCGAGAAGTTCTTTATGTTGGTTTTGAAGTTGCCAACACCAAACACCTGCATTGAAGGCAGAGTAGGCGCACTGATGTACCTCCTCAGAGATGTATTTCCAGACATGTACAGTGATGCCTCGCTTAACGGGCGCCCCGTTTAACGACGGATCCGCATAGCGATGAAGATTTTGCGATCGCAAAAGCGATTGCATTGCAATGATTTAAATAGGAAAAAATCGCTTTGTGATGATCAGTACGCTGTTTCGCTTACCAATTATCGCATAGCAATGATTTTCCAACAGCTGATTGGGGGTTCCAAAGTGGCTGCTGGGTAAAAAAATGGCCACCCGCTGTGTTTTCACACGGTTTCCTCACTTACTGGGCAGCGAAAATGGCCGCCGTATGGAGGATTTTCGCTTAAAGGTGAGTTTTTTGCCCATAGGAACGCATTAAATGGGTCTTAATGCATTCCTATGGGTTTTTTATTTTCGCATAGCGACGAAATCGCTTTGCAGCGATTTTTGCTGCACGGATTATCATCGCTATGCGGGGCACCACTGTATTTTATTTCTGGTTAACTCAAAGTCAGGGACATATACCCATTCCAATGTTGATGAAGTTTGTCTCATCTAATCCGTCACCACTGGATGTGCTTATGAGAGTTTAACACCAACGACATCTGGAGGGGCTCAAATTGCACTTGATCTAAAAAACAATATTTCAAATCAATATATGCAAATATGATGCAAATTTCCATCTTCTTTCATTGTCCTCTTCTGCAGCTTTTGTGAGTGTTGCATTTCAAGGCCACTAAGTTTTTTCCCCCTCCTCTTTTTTTTATTGTTCCTAGCTGTTCAACTTTTACCCGTTCCTTGGTTTTTTTCTCAACGCTCACAAAATATTACTCCAAAAAGTCGAAGAGGTCCGTGTCATTATTCGGGAGAACATGAAGAAAAGCAGAGAGGCTACGAATGGCCATGGCCTCAGAAGCTACACAGAGGCCCTGATTGCGAAACAGCAAGAGGTATTGTGTGGATTACCTCAGGTTGTGAGTTTTAAAATATCAGAGAAAACGCACTGGGCCAGCCCACAAAAATATCCCATCTGGTATTTTGTTACCCGCGGCAGCTAGATAGCAATGGTTATTTCTATTGTTATTGTTTTTATTTACACTTCTCCCTTCAAGAACGCTGAGGTTCTGAGTGCGAAACAAAACAGCAAGAGGTATTGTGTGGATTACCTCAGGTTGTGAGTTTTAAAATATCAGAGAAAACGCACTGGGCCAGCCCACAAAAATATCCCATCTGGTATTTTGTTACCCGCGGCAGCTAGATAGCAATGGTTATTTCTATTGTTATTGTTTTTATTTACACTTCTCCCTTCAAGAACACTGGGGTTCTGAGTGCGAGACACCTGTATAGTTCAAAATCCGTGTATAACTCTTATTCCCCCCCCCAGAAAAAATGTAACTACCAAGCATAAACAGTTGATTAAAACACACACACCTCCCCAAATTGTGTCAGCCTCCTGGCACACCCCATCAACCTCCCCGGTTGCCACACGGAGGCGCCATGATAGGCGAGCGGGTCATCTGGGCCACCACCCTCAGACTGTGGGCCACCACACTGCTAACGGCAGGGCCCTAGGTCAGCCCACGACCCACCTTTCTCAAGACCACTTCCTGGAGAAAAAATAGTGTTTATCGAATTTTCATGTATGTATTTATTGAAATCTTTATTTCTTTATTGAAAAAAAGACACGTCTAACCCAAACCAGGCAGTTCAGAACCATGGACGTTCAAGGGAGAAATGTCTTATGTATAAGGCATCTAAACTTTTCAAAGCATGGTATGGCAATAAAACAGTAAGATGATCCTGACTCATAGGCTTACCGTCCGAAAGACGATATAAAAGGAAGGTGGTCGAAGGAGAGAAGAGGAAAGTGTTGGAAGGAAGACCCACTGGTTTCCTCCGACATCCGATACATAAACATTTCAGTTTGATTACGTAGTTGATAGCCACATCTTTGTCTCCTCCAAAATCGGGGCACTTTTGAACATAATATTAAGCCAGGATTTAACCATAATGGTACACCTGAATGTTAGATGATATTTGACCAAAACACATTCTCGGAGCAATCAAGTGGGTATGGGGTGCATGGTAGAATTTAGAGAATAGTATTGTTGGTGTTTAGTCGTTAAGTCGTGTCCGACTCTTTGTGACCCCATGGACCAGAGCACGCCAGGCCCTCCTGTCTTCCACTGCCTCCCAGAGTTGGGTCAAATTCATGTTGGTTGCTCCGATGACACCGTCCAACCATCTCGTCCTCTGTCATCCCCTTCTCCTCTTGCCCTCACCCTTTCCCAACATCAGGGTCTTTTCCAGAGAGTCTTCTCTTCTCATGAGATGGCCAAAGTATTGGAGCCTCAGTTTCAGGAGCGTTCTTAACTCTTAGCTATTATCACGGGCTACATCCTCCCCTTAGGATATGAACAAGAAAGAGACCCTTTTTCATGACGACAACTTGATCGCATCCATACTGGACCTTGTCATGGCTGGAACGGAGACCACAGCAACAACCTTGCAATGGGCGATTCTGCTGGTGATGAAGTACCCAGTGATTCAAAGTAAGTGGCCTCTGTTAACTTTGATGTAGTCTATCTCCTGTAGAGCAAAAGTAGGCAGAAGGGGGAATACAGGGTTGGGCAATTGTCTGGATGATCAGCAAAAGTTTCTCACTGCTCTAGTTTCAAAAAAGCAACTGTTAGAAACAACCTTTTCCAACCTTGTGCATCGTAAACATTAACACGTTTTATTTGGCTGACACTTTCTTAGACAGCTGCCCGTCTCACACTTCTGATGTTGGATACACCAAATAAAACTCCTTTTTTAGAGGGGCTTCAGAGCCTGTTGTTTTTGCCAGCTGACATCCAGGGGATGGAAGGAAACAGGCCGATGGAAAGGAACTCCATGCATCTAGCTCTCTGTCCTTTCTTCTAGAGAAGGTTCAAGAGGAAATCAGGCAAGTGGTGAAACCCGGCGGCTGGCCCACATATGAAGACCGGAAGAGCATGCACTTTACCAATGCGGTGATCCATGAGGTGCAGAGGTTTATCACATTGCTGCCACATGTTCCTCGCTGCACATCAGTTGACATGCAGTTCAGAGGCTACTTTCTCCCAAAGGTACCCATCTCCAGATATATATATATACACCTGCATTCTTGCTTTAGATTTTATTTTCCTAAAATAAACACATATTTAGACGCCGGTTGAGATGTTCTTCTAGAGCTACAGCAAATTACAGAAGGACCCTTGTATACACAGTAGATTGCTTCAAAGCCCTCCTGTGGATAATAGTGAATAATATATGTAGCATGATAAAAGAAGAAATCAAGAAACAAGAAATTTTCACCCTGTATTACCAGAATTGGCCACTCGAGGGAGCAAAAGATCATGTATTCCAACAACAAGAATACATAGCATGGTGTCTGGTTTCCTCTAGTGGCCAGTTGTGGTAAATACATCCTGAAAATATGTACAGTATTTCTAGGTTTTTTTCTTTTAATATTTTTTAATATTTTCATATTGCTGATAAATGAAACCACAGATACTCTGATACCATGGATATGGGGGTCCTACTGTATTTCTAAAAACAACTTTTTAATGTCGGGTTTGATCTGGGACAATATAAGCAACAACCCTGTCATTTTTGAGTCAGGGTCAAAATGAACGACCACAGGAAGGTCTATCATTCGAGGCTGGTCATATATTTTCCTGCTAGGAATGTAAGTCCTTCAGAGTTTTGTGCCTAAGCAATTTTGCCAATGAAACCTGTGCTTATCTCCTGATGAACCAAATAGAAGACAAAGTGAGCAAATCTGCACCTTGCAGAGCTAAAGAAAGTTTGTGCCAAGATAAACAGACGTCTCTTGTTCTTTAAGCCAGTTCCATTTCTAATTATATAGCACACACAGTCATACTGTGTTTTTTTGGCTGTCATACTAACCTACAACTGAGGACTTAAAAGACTGAGAAGCCTGTTTTGCTGTCTGTAGACCTTGTTGGTTCCCTTTGACATTTGCTGGGGACAGGAATCTGCTAGAGTCTTCATGTCAGTAATCCCTGTTTTACGATTAGTCTGCATATATGTGTGGAGGTGATGGCATTCCAGTGGAACTATTTAAAATCTTAAAAGATGACGCTGTTAAGGTGCTACATTCAATATGCCAGCAAGTTTGGAAAACTCAGCAGTGGCCAGAGGATTGGAAAAGATCAGTCTACATCTCAATCCCAAAGAAGGGCAGTGCCAAAGAATGCTCCAACTACCGTACAATTGCACTCATTTCCCACGCTAGCAAGGTTATGCTCAAGATCCTGCAAGGTAGGCTTCAGCAGTATGTGGACCGAGAACTCCCAGAAGTACAAGCTGGATTTTGAAGGGGCAGAGGAACTCGAGACCAAATTGCTAACATGCGCTGGATTATGGAGAAAGCCAGAGAGTACCAGAAAAATATCTACTTCTGCTTCATTGACTATGCAAAAGCCTTTGACTGTGTGGACCACAGCAAACTATGGCAAGTCCTTAAAGAAATGGGA